GATGGCTATCACCAACTGCCACATTAGCTGTGAGTATTTTTTTCCAGATTCTTCAGGTAAACTAGATAATGACACAGGAGAAAATCGACAGTGTAGAGTTACAGAACAGTGGTAAATGGTTTTATTTATAACACTATTTAGATACTGAGAGTACTCAAAAATAGAACCTTAGTGTCCAGATTAAAAAAAAAAAAAAGCATACTCAAAGAGAAATTCTAAGTTCACTGGAAGATGACATCAATTTGATTCATTTTCTGAATACATTTACATGTCTGTCTCAGTTTGCTCACTGGAAAACAATGTGATTAAATTAAATGAACTCAGAATCCTTTCTAGTCAACCATCTACAAAACCATTAGTGCACCTGTCCCTTATTCTATTCTGCTTTTGTTCATTTTTCATATATTTATAATTAAATGGCAATTTCCAAGCTCATGACTGTTGCATGAATAATGGCGGTCAGTGGTAAATGTTTCATGAGTAGTGTGAATAACTTATGACTACAGATTTCCCACTCAATATGTGCCTATTTCAGATCCAAGAAATCCTTGGAGAGAAAGCGTAGCATGTGGTGAATAATATGGACAGAGGAGCCACACTGCCTCAGTTGTAACTCCAACTTTACCACTTACCATGTGACTTTCAGTCACTTACTGAACTTCTCTAAGTCTCACTTACATTTAAAAACTCTAGCATATCCATAAGACCACTTCTTTCCTAAGTAAAAGCATGTCTCTATATCTCCCCAATTTCATTGCAGGAAATTGAGACCTTTCGCTCATTTTTACAAGCAATGATAGATATTACAAAAAACATTACACTTAGAAGACCAGATACCAACTGAAGACATACTCTACCTTGGGCAGAAAGTTAACTTTTTTGATATCTCCTGGGTTGTTCTATCAGAAAAATAATTCTTCCATTTTTGTGTGTAGACACAATCTATGAATTTTACATCAACAATATTTTAGAAAGAGACAGTAAGGTCATTAAAGACTAGTTAATTAGAATATTTGGAACAAATTCAAATGAAGTAACCTCTCTGTACACTTTTTTCTTACAAAATTGCTAGAGATAAAAGAACTGATTATTGCTAGGAAGAATAACTAAATGACAAGTATTGTGAAATGCCTGCATTATGAAAAAAATAATTTTAAAGTAAATTGAATAATAAATTATGCATTTCATGTTATGAAATATTTAGGTAAGGCAAGTAATATTTCAGCCAGAATAAAAGACAACCAGCCCCAGGTTCTCTTCTCTAAAAATGTTCCCAGTAAGGAGGGCCTTACCCTTCCTATTAGAAAGTCCATGTCCAAGAAGCCCTGAGGCTCAGAGGCAGAGAGCCTAAGAAGGAAAGTTGACTTTCTGATTCTTGCAAAAATAGGTAATCACAGTGCTACAGTTTTAGGTTAGAGTACTGGCTTTTGATCAAGACCTGCATCTATGTCAGATATAACAATAACGATCTGTAGCCCACTGATATGGTTTGGCTGTGTCCCCACCCAAATATCAACTTGAATTGTATCTTCCTCATTTTTCTCTTGCCACTGCCATGTAAGAAGTGCCTTTCACCTCCCGCCATGATTCTGAGGCCTCCCTAGCCCTGTGGAACTGTAAGTCTAATTAAACCTCTTTTTCTTCCCAGTCTTGGGTATGTCATTACCAGCAGTGTGAAAACGGACTAATACATTCATTAACTCAATTTTTAAATTTTATTCCCATATCAATTCAATAACTGTTTCTACAATAAAGAAATTTGTATTTGCCAACAAGGGAGCAGTATTCAAGGACTTCCATTGTTACTTCCATGACTTGGCTTACCACTGGGTCCATTGAATCCCTACATCTCATTATACATTTAGTTAAATATTGGATCTCTATGTCATAAAAGCCTTAAAGAGTCCCATAAATACCTATCTGAACCAGCTAAAATATTTATTACATAAATACTTTATGTAGACACTTATCACATAAGAGGGTACACTAAAAGTTAGTCATTTTCAACTTACCTAATACATGGATTAAATTATTCCACCCCAAATGTAATATGTGTTACTGCTAAAATTCAAAGAGCATGTCTATAAGTGCTATGCTGTGTTACTGGCAAGTGCTAAAACTGCACAAACATGTTTAATTCTGAAGAACTATCAGATATGGTCAAAGATACTATGGTTTAAATTATGATTCCAAGATGAAGAACTAATGTAAAAATAGGACCTACATCTCAATATCAGTGTGGAAGTAAATCCTTCCTCAGCCAAGTTTTATATGAGATGGTAACCCCAACCAGCACCTTGATTACAGTTTTGTGAGAGACCTTGAAGCATGGGAACCTTCTAAACTAGCCTTAGTTTCCTGACCTACAAAAATTGACAATGAGTACATATTGTTTGAATCACTAAGTTTTGAAATAATTTGCCATGAATAAATAAATAACTTATAAATATATCTAGAATATGCTTCAAATATTGGGAAGCATGCGAATAAACATTTAGTGAATCTATGAATCAAAGAAAAAAGTATAATGGAAATAAGCAAATATTTAGAAATCAGCAATAGGAAAAACATATCCAAATGTGTAAGGTGTAATCAGAACAGTACTTAAAGAAACATATATAGCTATAAATTCTTACGTTTTAAATAAATGTTCAAAAGCAGCCATCTGAACCTTCACCTTAAGAAGCTAGAATAAGAAGAGTATATAAAAGCCAAGGTAAGTAAATGAAAGGACATAAATATAAGATCAAAACCAATAAAATAGAAAACATAAAATAGAGTAAATGAAAATAGCCAAAAGTTGGAATTTTATAATGAAATTGATAAATTGCCAGCAGGAGTGATCAAAAGAAGAGAAAATGAAATTACCAACATCAGAAATCATAAAACAAATAATGACCCATAGATCCTTTAGACTTAAAAGGTTAGGAAAGGATTGTTATGAAATACACCATTTCAATTAATTTGACAGATTAGATGAATTAGGTAAAATGTAGGGAAAGGGCAACGTTCTAAAAACTGCACGCACAAAAAAACTGAAACACCTCATATCTCTTTCCAAGTAATGTGCTTTCGTTACGTGTACCTAACGTGATAGTGCTTCAGAAAACCCTAAAGAATAACTTTGTAGGAATAAGAAGTAAATTTAGCAAGTTTATAGGACTCAAGTGTCAAATAAAATATTCCATTTCCTTTATATATACTTGCAACAATGACAATTGGAATTTTTAAAAAATTAAAAATCTGTGATGAAATCTGAAAACATAAATACTGAGGAATAGATAAGGAAGATCCCTACATGAATATAAACTACAAAACTCTTCAAAACTAAACATTCGAAATACCTAACAGATATACTGTATTCAGGAATTAGAAAACTCAACATTGCTAAGATGTTGTCAGTATAGGCTGATTTATGGATCCAACTTAAAATGAATACAACTCCAATATACTCTTTTTGAGATGTAGACAATTGTTCTGCACGCTGCTCTGCAAAGTGACTTTACCACTTCCACATCAAAGATTATCTTCTATATCTGTAAAATCTCAAATCTGGGTGGTCATGTGATCACTGTGACAAATAGAATATGATGCAAGTGACATTGTGTCAGTTCTGGACATAGCCCTTAACTGGCTGGACCCAACTACTTTTTACCAATGGGATATCTGACCACCATGTAAAAAGCTGGACTATTCTCTGGAGTGATCTTGTGTTCCTTCATTTAAAGAGAAAGGAAGAGGGATCCAGCGCATCTCTTACTGTGATCCCTTCCAATAGGCTATAAATATGAATTGAGTTATCCTGCGTTTACATAAATCTCAGTTATCAGTTGAATAAGACAGTGACTTCAGTCCTTGCCAAACAAAACAGAAGAAATACCCAGCCAACTACTATCTGAATTCCTGATTCACAAAATTTTGAGATAAAATAAAACGATGGTTGTATGAAATCACAAAATGTGGAGTCCTGTACTACACACGAAGAAAGAACCAGAATAAAAAGTGGCAAGTCAAGGTATAGTGCTTCCATAACAACAATTGAAAGTGTATGGCACTGGCTTTAGTATACGAAAATAGGGGCCTCCAGGATATTGTAAGTAAAGGCTGAAAATACAGATGTAACTGTTCTGCAGGCTACAAAAAAAGTCAGTCACTATCCAGTGCTGAAAAAATTTAGTAATTCTGTCACCTATAATAAGGCAGAAAATAAAAAATGTACTTAATAGGTGGATTTGGCTAAAATTTCCAAATAGAATATTGAAAGTTACAGCTGTTTCTTATAGCACTACTGTACCTTATAAGTCATATATTTTTAAAATATATATATGTATTACTTAAAAGATTAACTGTTACATTTTCAGACAGAATTTACAAGAAACATAAAAGAGCCAGAACTTGATGGTTTCAAAGATAAAAATCGTTTCCCTTTCCAGTCTCTGCAAAGAGTTAAGCACTCTAAAAGTAAGAAAGGTCATCAGAATAAAAGTCATTTCAAAGTTGTGGATGTTAAGACACGTTGAAAAGACTGCAGAAAAATTTAATGGTGTGTCTCAAAAGTACTTTAAACTGTACAAACATAATTCTAAGATGCTTAAGAATATTTTCTGATGGCAAATAGAGTTTCAGCTCAAATCTGAGAAGAGCCAGTTTCAAAGACATTTGTGAATACGGTGCTTGTATATTCCCCAGGCCTTTAAATAAATTACTCAGAGGGAATCACCGTAGCCTTCCCTTTTGAACAGGAGCATCTATTTTAATTACGTGTTCCTCCCTTTCTCCATTCTGTGCCCGGCATATGGAAGAAATATCCTGACTCAATAGATGTGTAATAGAGAAAAATCATAATTTAAAATGTGCACAATAGGACCTGAACCCTAGCAGCTCCATCCACTCTCAGTCTGGATATAGAGGCTGAGATCTTGAACTTCAAACAGATGCCATGATGGGATGACTTCTTAATTGAGCTGGGAGCATCTCAGTCCTGCCTTCCCACTTTGGGATCCTTGAATTATCCTTAGAAGTCTGAATATTTCACTGGGAAGACCTTGTCTACATACCTCCTTATCTACAGGAGAATGGACACTCTTATTCTAAATATTGTTAACTTTTACACAAGAGTTTTTCTGTAGCATTTCTCATCTCTGAATTTTTCAACGTGTATATAAAGGGGTTCAAAATGGGTGCAATAACTGTAAAAAATATAGTCATGAATTTATCAATAGAAAAGTTTGAAACAGGTCTCACATATATGAAAATACAGGGAACAAAAAACAGGACAACCATGGTAATGTGGGAGCTGCAGGTAGACAGGGCTTTATGCCTCCCTTCCTGACTGTAGGTTTTAAGGGAGTTTAGGATGACCCCATAGGAGATTAGTAGAAGGGTGAAGATGACCATACACATTGCTCCACCATTGAAAACAACAGCGAGGCCTATAAAGTAGGTGTCAGTGCACGCCAGTTCCAATAACGGGTACACATCACAGTAAAAGTGGTCAATGACATTGGGGCCACAGAAGGGGAGAGTGTACACAACAACAGTTTGAAACACAGAATGCACAAAACCTCCAGTCACAGCCAACACCAAGACAAGGATGCAAACCTGTCGATTCATGATGGTCAAATAGTGCAGTGGCTTACAGATGGCCACACAGCGATCATAGGCCATCACCACCAGAAGGAAGATCTCAGCACCACCACACAAGTGACCTATAAATAGCTGACCCATGCAAGCTGGGAAGGAAATAGTCTTTATATCACAGAGTAAGTCTACAATCAATACGGGAGAAATGGTAGTGGAATACACAGCATCTACAAATGACAGGCAGGCAAGGAAGAAGTACATTGGGGAGCCCAAGGAAGGGCTGGCAATAATAGTCACCACAATGAGTAGGTTCCCCACCATGGTCACAATATATGTGAGTAAAAACATGACAAATAATGCATTTTGCACATCAGGATCCTGAGAAAAGCCCAGGAGGACAAATTCTGTAATATTGTTATTCTGTCTCATTTACTCTTTTTCAGAAGGTGTATCAGAGGTGAGAGCTCAGGAGAACAGGACCTGTAATGAAATAGTGAACAGGAATATGATCACATCCATGTGTCACAGAGCACATCTTCATTGTTGTATCCTGAATAGTGATTAAAACACAATAAACATTGAGTAAGTCTCTACTGAGTTTCTCATTCAAAGAGCCCATCTTCCCTTGATGACTCTATTTCTCCTCAAAGATTTTATTTTCAGCCACAGGTAAAGGCTTCTACCTCTATGTTTTAGTGAATATTCCATACAGAAGGAGTGTTAAAGCTCCAATAGCCATTCATATATTACATAACTTCTTATTTAAAGCATTTTTCTTGGCACAGAAGTCAGTTATGATGAATAGGCAGTGGGTTCTTGGTCTCAAAAACCTTACTTTTTGGTAGTGGTAATAAACTCTATATAAATAAATTGACATAGCTTTAGCCCTTGGTGTTTGTATTTCTGGTATCTTTATAGTATGATCTGGTCGCACCAAGAATAACATTTTCTGAAATATCTCACTCAGTACTCTGGCCTTCTACTATTAGACTCCATTCCTTCATGCCTCGAAGGATGTTCAGTGTTCATTAGTCTTTCATTACATGCCAAAAGACAGGACTCTGAACTGTATAAATAACTATTATATTTTTATTACATTGTTCCCTTTAGCAATTACTTGGTCTGACTTTCTGTCCACCTTATAAGGAGCTGTGATTCTCTCCATTTTATCCTTGCTTATATTTCAATTTTTACCACATTTACATACAATATTCAAATTTTCAGCAGTTAATTTGAACTCAAGTGAACTAACTCATGGCTATCACCAACTACCAAATATGCCATGAGTTTTTTCTTCTGAATTCTTGAGATTAGCTAGGTAGAAAGAGAGGAGAAAATAGACACTGTAGAAAAAGGTACAGAACCAGCAGGATATGGTTTTATTCATAACACTACTTAGATACCAAGAGTAGGCAAAAAAAAGAATCTTAGTTACCAGATTCCAAAATGAAGCATGTTCTAGTAGAAATTCCACGTTCAGTGTAAAAAGGCATGGATTTGGGACATTTTCTGAATGCATTTACAAGTCTTATCTCAGTTTGCTCACTGGAAAACAATAGGATTACATTTGAGAAATTCAGACTCCTTTCAACTGTCTACAGAACTATGAGTGTACCTCTCCTTTATGGTATTCTGCTAACATTTTTTTTCATTTTTTATAAATTTATAATTAAATAAAAATTTCCAAGCTCATGACCCTTACTGAAAAATGGTAGTCAGTGGGAAATGGGATTTCATGATTACAGTGAATAGTGACTATAAGTCTGTCACCGAGTATGTACCTATTTAAGATCCGAGACATTCTTAGAGAGAAAATGTAGCATATGGTGAATAATGTGGACACTGGAGCCACACTGCTTCAGCTACAACTGCAGCTTCACTATTTTTTTATGAGATTTTGGATCATTTACTAAAGCTCTCTGTTCCTTACTTTCATCATTTTATAAGGGGGACCCCAATAGTCCTTCCCTCTTACAGTTGTTGTTTTATTAAAACTAAGTAAAGTTCCTAAAATACTGACACACACCTGGGAAGGGCTCAAAAATGATAGCTTCACTGTGAACATAAAATCAAAACAGATCATGCAGATCTTTGTCAACTTGAAAAGATTTATAGAGATAGTCCAGGAAAAAAAAAAAAAGGATAAGATACCTATAATTCAGGAAAGCCTTTTGGGTGCACAGAATAAAATTGTATGCCTTAGAAGATAATGATTTAATAACATGCATAGTAATTTTACCTGTGATGAAATATATCTTGATGAGAAGCACAGAATTATAGTGAAAAAGTTAAACCCACCATCGGGGAGAGTTCAGGAAATGAAAAGAAGGCTAAAATCAGAAATCAGAGAAATTTTAGTTAATAAATGAGTATTCACAAGCTATAAGAAGATTAATGAGATAATTAAGTGAGGCTAGTACTCTTTAAAATCTGCTTCAGAAAGATTCCTTTTAGTGAGGAAATACTGGAAGTGCACCTCCTGTGGCTTGCTGGGGTGACTCAGGAGGCTTTTGGGGGTAGCCATAACAAACACAGACAGGATCCTAGTTAAAAAAAAAAAAAAAAAGGAAACAAAATTTAAAAGAAAAAAAAAACATTGTTCTTCAAAGTCTCTAGATCTGACAGTTAAAGACAAACTTATATTACAGAGAACAGTGAGACAAGTACAGATACAAACCCAAACTTTCTGAGTACTCACTGCTGAGCAAAACGGCAAGATTACTAAACCTCAAATGTAGACAGGATTATTCCATTTACATAGGTCTGGCAGTGGTAGAGGACATGTACAGAGAGAGTTTGAGCTGTCTCTAGAATCCAGCTGTGATGAAAAATCCACGTCTCATTCACATTACCAATTCCAGCTGATTCCAGAGTTCCGTCACTCTTGAAGCTATAGACTGATAGAGAGACACCCGCTGAAGAACGCAAGGGAATAATGTAGTCTATAGAGAATTCTGTTATTTATTCACACATTATTTGCTGCAAGGTTTAGTGCCTTTTCCTCCTTTCATCATCAAAACTATTTCAACAGATAGTTGAAATTCAACAGGATAATTCTTTTGGCAATTTAAATATTTACTTGTAAAAAATAGGTATATAAACTGTCTTCTATAATTTAAGTATTTAAAATATAATACCTTGAAACTGAAAGATAGCATTACTAGACTTTCAATGTAAACTGCTAAGTTAACATTTTTGTAGAAAAAATGATTTAACCATTTCCTAAAGACACATTTTCAAATGATAAAATGTCATAAAAGCATAAAAATCTCCATATTATATTTCACAGTCACAGTTTTATAAATCTATTTAAATAACAGTAGACCATATATTTTCCTGAGCCTATATACCTACTAGTATGTTTGCTGAGATTTTTAGATATATAAAAAAAACCTATAATATGCTCCAGAATATAAGAGTCATTGGTTCCTTAACACTCTAATACATCTGACATGATCTGCAATTTTAAACTCTCTAATCAAATATACCTGAAAGTAATTGTACACCTTTACTAATGTATCATATAAAATATAATATCCCATAAACAAATATTATGATTATAAAACAATTGGTTTATATACATGTATATGAAACCTGTTTTTCTTCTTATTTGGCAAATAGAAAAGGAAAACAAATTAGGCTATATATTAAAACCAAATATATATTGCATATTCTGAGAATTTTTTATGTTTGCTAACTTAACTTTTCCAATTAGAATTTCTTCAGCAAAATCGTGTGATATTTAAGACATTAGCTACATTCAACATATCACATGAATTTTCAATAAATATCTTTTGTCAGTGGTTTCAAATACTCACATCGTGGTCCAGAAAACCAATGCTTCTTTCACCAAACGTTCATGTAGATGCCTCAGACATGTATGTGTGATCATAAAACACATTGATACAAACAGCTGATCCATGGATACAGAAATACTTCCTAGAGGCTACAGTTTCCACAGTCCCACACAGGCTTCTCATTATTACTCATTAGAGAAGTATGGCACTATCCAAAGCAGATGACCAAAATATAAAGAAGCTTAAACATATTGTAGAAAGGTTGTTAAATATTCTTACCTGCTGGAAAATTTCTTCATAGGAAAACAAAACACTATCTTTGTATGACTATATAAAAATTGACATGAGAGGAAATTAACCTGGACAAGTAAACAAAAATGTACCGATAACTCCTGGCCTCAAGTGAACCACCTGCCTTGGCCTCCCAATATGCTGGGATTACAGGCATGAGGCGCCTCACTTGGCCTTATTATTATTTTCTTGAATGCAATATGTTCTTAAAATTTTTGTCTTTATGTTGCTGTTGTTCTGCTGTCGCTTTTCTGTTTACCCTTTTAAAACAAACTATTCTTTTTAAAATTCATTTTTCATGAAATTTTTAACATCTAATAAATTCATAACTTTATTCTTTCAGTAATTTTAGAGAATTTTCAGTTATATCTCTTCAAATATTTTGCCTACCTGATTTTTTTCTTTTTCTGGAGTTTTAATTAAATTAAAAGTGTCTCAGAGTTTTGTGTTGTGTTTTTATATCTCTTTTATACTATTTTCTTCATTTGCTTTTTTTTTCTCTCTGCTTTGTTCTGCATATTTTCTTCTAATATTTCTTGCAATTTGCAAATTCTCTAATTTTTCATCTAATTTGGCATTAAATCCAATCATTGAGTTTTTAATTTGTTATTATATATTTTAGTTTTTCAATTTTTTGGTTAATTTTGTTATCTATCTTGTGTTTTAGTATTTGTACATACTAAGCTTAATTTTCCCAATTAGAATTTATCTAACAAAATCGTATGGTATTTAAGACATTAGCTACCTTTCAACTTATCAAATAAATTTTTAATGAATATCTCGTCAACAGTTTCAAATACTCAAATTTTGGTCCAGAAAAGCAATGCTTCTTTCATTGATGGTTACTGTAGATACCTCATGCATCTATGTGTGATCATAAAACACATGAATATAGATGGCTGATCAACGGATTTTGAATTAGCTCCTAGTGGCTACCGTTTCCATAGTTCCACACAGGCTTCTCATTATCTCATTCTTCAAAGAAGTATGGCACTGCCCAAAGCAGATGTCCGAAATATAAAGATGTTTAAACATAATGTTAATGTTTACTCTACAAAGGTAGTTGAATGTTCTCACCTGCTGAAAATTTTCTTCATTTAAAAAAAAAAGATCCTAAGTTTGCATGACTATATAAAAATTGACATACTAGAAATTAACCAAGATGAGCCCATTATTTATTGGCACAAGTATCAACACTAAAATTTGTTACTTGAAAGTTTTCTCGATTATGGTGAAGAAACCAGAAGTGCTTTACTATGATTGAGGATTTAGAATAACGTTCAGGGGTCCAGCTACTAAGCTTTGTACCTATCAAGAAAAATGGTGAGATTTAACTTCATGGAAAAACCAATGACAGTACTTTCCCACAGGCAGAAGCCAAACTCTTCAGTCTTTCAGTCATTCAACTAACATATGCCTAAGACCACTTCTCTCCTAAGTGAAAGCATGTCTCTATATCTCCCCAATATCATCCGAGGATATTTAGACCTTTCCCACATTTTTACAAGCAATGGTGGATATGATAAGAAAACATTACACCTAGAGGACTAGATGCCAACCAAAGACATACTCTATCTTGGGCAAATAATAATCACTTTCTCAATATCCTCTGGGCTATTCTATCAGAAAAATAATTCATCCATTTATGTTTGTAGGCAGAGTCTATGACTTTTACATCAACAATATTTTAAATAAACAAGACAGTAAGGTCATTATAGATTTGTTAATTAGAATATTTGAAACAAATTCAAATGAACTAATCTCTCTGAAAACTTTTATTCTTAGAAAATCCCTAGAGGAAAAACACTTGGCTCTTGCTACGCAAAAGTAGCTAAGTGCCAAATAATGTCAAAAGCCTGTAATATGAGAAGAAAAAACTCAAAAGTAAATTAAATGATAAAATATGATTTCACATTATGAAATATTTAGGTGAGGCAAGTAATATTTCAGCCAGAATGAAAGGAGAACCTGCCCCAGGTTCTCTTCTCTTAAAACATTCCTGGTAAGGAGGGCCTTACCCTTCCTGTTACAAAGTCCATACCAAAGAAGCCCTGAGGCTCAGAGGCAGAGAGCCTAAGAATGGAAGTTGACATTCTGATTCTTGGAAAGACAGGCAATCATAGTGCTGCAGTTTTAGAGTACAGGCTTTTGATCAAGGCCTGAAACTGTGTCAGATAAAATCATAATGATCTGCACTCCATTCACTCAATTTTTAAATTTTATTCCAATATCAATTTAATAACTGATTCTACAATAAAGAAATTTTTATTTCCCAACAAGAGAGCAGTGCTTAAGGGCTTCCATTTTATTTCCATGACTTGGCTTACCATTGGCTCCATGGAACACCTTCATCTCATCGTAAGTTAATTAAATATTGGATTTTTCTGCTATAAGATCCTTAAAGAGTCCCATAAACACCTATCTGAACCAGCTCAAGTCTTTATCACATAATGGGCTCCACTGAAAATTGGTCATTTTCAACTTACCTAACATGTTTTCAATTCATCCACCCTCAATGTAATATATATTATTGCTAACACTTGAAGAGCATGTCTAAAGGCGCTGTGATCTCTTACTGGTAAGTGGTAAAACATGCACAAACCTATGTTTATTTCTAGAGAACTAACAGATATGATCAAAGATACTGTGGTTCAAATTATGACTCCAAGACGAAGAACTAATATATGAAAATAATACCTAATTCTCTATGTCCCTTCCAGTTATGTGAATTCTCTATGAATTCAAATAACTACTAATACCAACACCCAGTGTGGAAGTGGATCCTTCCTCAGCCAAGCCTTCGTATGAGATGGTAGCCCCAAAAGCACCTTGATTACAGCTTTGTGAGAGACTTTGAAGCATGGAAACCTGCCAAACCATTCTTAGTCTCCTGACCTACAGAAATTGAGAAGGAGTACATACTGTTTGAATCACTAAGTTTTGAAATAATTTGCTATGAATAAATACATAACTCATAAATATATCTAGAATAGACTTCAAATACTGGGAAACATGCCAATAAATATTTAGTAAACCTATGAATCAAGCAAAAGGTATAATGGAAATTTGCAATTATTTAGAACTAAGCAATAACAGAAACATATCAAAATGTGTGAGGTGTAATCAAAACACTACTTAAAGAAAAATGGATAGCTATAAATGCTTACTTTTAAAATAAATGTTTAAAAGCAGCCATCTTATCCTTCACCTTACGAAGCTAGAAGAAGAAGAGTAAATACAAGCCAAGGTAAGAAAACAAAAGAATATAAGTACAAAATCAAAAACCAATAAAATGGAAAACATAAAATAGAGAAAAAGAAAATAGCCAAAAATTGGTACTTTTATAATGAAATTAATAAACTGCTGGCAAGGGTGATCAAGAGAGAACAAAGGGAAATTCAAATAACCAATATCAGAAATAATAAATAATCATCCCATAGATCCTTTAGACTTTAAAAGATTAGAAAAGCGTTATGAAATACATTATTTCAATTAACTGGACAGCTTAGATGAATTAGGTAGAATGTAGGGAAAGGACTACCTTCTAAAAATGACACAAAGGGAACTGAAACACTCCAATATCTTTCCAAGTAATGAGCTATCCTTACTTGTAGAAAACATGATAGTGTTTCAGAAAACCCTAAAGAATCTACAGACGTAACTTTGTAGGAATGAGAAATAATTTAGCAAATTTATAGGACTCAAGTGTCAAATAACAAATTCAATTCCTTTATATAAACTATCAACTTTTTAAAAAATTAAAAACCTGTGATGAAATCTGAAAACACACACACACAGGAATAGATAAGGAAGATCCCTACATTGATAAAAACTACAAAACTCTTCAAAAATAAACTTTAAAAATACCTAGCAGATATATTGTATTCAGCAGCTAGAACACACAATATTGTTAATGTTAGTACAAGTTGATTCATAGATCCAACTTAAAATGAATAAAACTCCAATATGCTCTTTTGAGATATAGACAATTGTTCTACATGCTGCTCTGCAAAGTGACTTTGCCAGTTCCCAACCAAGGGTTATCTTCTATTTCTGTAAAACCTCAAATCTGGTGTGGTCATGTGACCACTCCGTTGACTAGAATATGACGCAAGTGACATTGTGCCAGTTCTGGACATAGCACTTAACCTGCCAGACCCATCTACTTTCTACTGCTAGGATCTCTGAGCAACATGTAAAAAGCCTTACTATTCAATGAAGTGATCTTGATGTCCTTCATCTAAAAGGACAGGAAGAGGGACCCAGAACATCTCTTAAGGGTTATCCCTTCCAATATACTATAAATGTGAATTAAGTTATCCTGCATTTTACAGAATACTTAGTTATCAGGTGAATAAGAGAATGACTCCAGTCCTTGCCACACAAAACAGAAGAAATACCCTGCCAACAACTGCCTGAATTCCTGGCTCACAAAATTTTGAGATAAAAGAATATGGTGGTTATTATAACTCATAATAACTGTGGGGCTCTGAACCCTACATGAAGACAGGACCTCAAAGTGTGGTATTTCCACCACAACAATTTAAAGTATATGACACTGGTTTTAGTGCCCCAAAATAGCAGCCACCAGGATATTATAAGTGAATGCTTAAAAGACAGAAGTAACTATTCCAGACTGTGACAAAAGTGAGCCGCCATCCAGCACTGAAAAAATGTAGTAATTCTGTCACCTATAGGAAGGTAGAAAACGAAAAATGTACTTAAGTGAATAGGTGGATTTTGCTAAAATTTCCAAGGAGAATATTGAAAATTGCAGCTGTTTCTTATAGCAGTGTGTTATGTAAAAAGGCATAGATTTTTTAAAAATATATTGCTTAAAAGATTAACTGTTACATCTTCAGACAGAATTTACAAGAAACATAAAAGAACGAGAAATTACTGGCTTCAAACATAAAACTCATTCCCCTTTCCAGTCTCTGCAAAGAGCTAAGTACTCTAAAAGTAGAAAGGTCATCAAAATAAATGTCATTTCAAAGGTGTGGAAGTTAAGACACTTGGAAAGATCATGGGAAAATTTAACGGTATGTCTCACGAATACATTAAACTAGACAAACATAATTCTAAGATTCCTAAGAGTATTATCTGACGGCAAGTAGAGTTTCAGCTGAAGTCTGAGCAGGGCCTGTTTCACAGATATTTGTGAATATAGTGCTTGTATATTCCACAAAGACTTTAAATAAATTACACTGAAGGAAGCACCATAGCCTTCCCTTCTCAAAAGGAGCCTCCATTTTATTACCTATTCCTACATCTCTCCATTGTGTGCTGAGTATGTGGAAGAAATACTGGGTCTCAAAGATTTGTAAATAGGAAAATTATCATTTGAATCGTGCACAATAGGACCTGCAAACAAGCAGCTCCATCCACACTCAGCCTGGATATAGACGTTGAGATATTGAATTTCAAACAAATGCCACGATGGGATGATTTCCTAATTGAGCTGTGAGCATCTAAATCCTGTCTTTCCACTTTGAGATGCTTGACAGGCCCTTAGAAATCTGAAAACTTGACTGGGAAGACCTTGACTACATACCTCCTTATCTACACGAGGAGGGACACTCTATTTCTAAATATAGTTAACTTTTTACCCAAGAGTTTTTCTATAGCATTTCTCATCTCTGAATTTCTCAACGTGTATATTAAAGGATTCAACATGGGTGTGATAACTGTATAAAAAACAGTCATGAATTTATCAATAGGAAAGGTTGAAACAGGTCTAACATACATGAAAATACAGGGAACAAAAAACAGGACAACCACGGTGATGTGGGAGCTGCAGGTAGACAGGGCTTTACGCCTCCCTTCCTGACTGTAAGTTTTAAGAGAGTTTAGGATGATTCCATAGGATATTAATAGAACGATGAAGATGACCATACACATTGCTCCACCATTGACAACAACAGTGAGGCCTATAAAGTAGGTGTCAGTGCACACCAGTTCCAATAATGGGTACATATCACAGACAAAGTGGTCAATGACATTGGGGCTACAGAAAGGGAGACTGTACACAACAACAATTTGAAACACAGAATGCACAAAACCTCCAGTCACAGCCGCCATCAACAGAAGGATGCAAACCTGTCGATTCATGATGGTCAAATAGTGCAGTGGCTTACAGATGGCCACATAGCGATCATAGGCCATCACCACCAGAAGGATGATCTCAGCACCACCAAACAAGTGGTCTATAAATAGCTGACCCATGCAAGCTGGGAAGGAAATAGTCTTTTTGTCACAGAATAAGTCCACAATCAACTTAGGAGAAATGGTAGTGGAATATACAGCATCTATAAGTGACAGGCAGGCAAGGAGGAAGTACATTGGGGAGCCCAAGGAAGGGCTGGCAATAATAGTCACCACAATGAGTAGGTTCCCCACCATTGTCATAAAGTATGTGAGTAAAAATGTGACAAATAATGCTTTTTGCACACCAGGATCCTGAGACAAGCCAAGTAGCACAAATTCTGTAATATTGTTATTCTGTCTCATTTACTCTTCTTCCAGGCTTATATCAGAAGTGAGAGCTCAGGAAAACAGGACCTGTAATGAAACAGTGAACAGGAATATGATCACATCCTTTGTGTCACAGAGCACATCTTCATTGTTGTATCCTCAATATTGATTTACACACAATAAACATTTGGTAAGTCTCTGTTGAGTTCCTCACACAAAGAGCCCATCTTCCCTTAAGGATTCTATTTCTCCTCAAATATTTTAATTTAAGCCAAAAGTTCAATGCTTCTACCTCTTAGAGTTAGTGAATAGTCTACGCAGAAGAATAGTTAAAGTCCCAACAGCCATTCATACATTTCATAACTTCTTATTTAAAACATTTTTCTTGGCACAGAAGTCAGCTGTGATGAATAGGCAATGGGTTCTTGGTCTCAAGAAACTTACTCTCTGATGGTATAATAAACACTAAATAAATAAGTTGAAATAGATTGAAGTCCTTTGTGTTTGTACTTGTGGTATTTATGATATGATCTATGTAGCACCAAGAATAACATCTTATAAAATATGTCACTCAGTGCTCTCGCCTTCTACTGTTAGACCTTCATTCCCTCATGCCTCAAAGGATGTTCAGTCTTAATTAGTCTTTCATTAAATGTCAAACGACAGGACTATAAACTGTATAAATGCTATGACATTATTTATCACATGTTAACTTCTGCAATTATTTGGTCTGACTCTCTGTCTACCTGATAAATAAGGAGCCGTGTTTCTCTCCATTTTATCCTTACCTATACACCAATTTTACAACACTTACAGACAATATTCAAATTATCACCAATTAATTTTGAACTCAAGTGAACTAATTCATGACTATCATCAACTACCAAATAAGCAGTGAGTATTATTTTCTGAATTATTGGGATGAGCTAGGTGGTGAAAGAGGAGAAAGTAGACACTGTAGAAAGACATACAGAACAGTGGGACATGGTTTTATTCATAACACTATTTAGATACGAAGAGTACTCAGATTCCAAAAAGAAGCATATTCTAAGAGAAATTCCAAGTTCAGTGTAAGAAGGCTTGGATTTGAGTCATTTTCTGAATGCATTTAGAAGTCTGTCTCAGTTTACTCACTGGAAAACAATGGGATTAAAGTTGAGAAATTCAGAATCCTTTCTAGTTAACTATCTACAAAATGATTAGTGCACCTCTTTTTATGGTATTCTGCTGACTTTTTTTATTTCTTTTATAAATTTATAAATAAATAAAAATTTCCAAGTTCATGTCTGTTACATGAAAAATGGTAGTCTGTGGGACATGGGGTTTCATAATTATAGTAAGCAAATAATGACTATAAGTTTCTCACTCAGTATGTACCTATCTAAGATCTAAGAATTTTTGGAGAGAAAGTGCGGCATGTGGTGAATAATGTGGACACTGGAGCCACACTGCTTCAGTTACAACCTCAGCTTCACCATTTTTAATAAGCTTTTGGGCCATTTACTAAAGTTCTCTATCCCTTACTTGCATCCTCTTTAGAACTGCGAAATACCCCTTACCTCTTAGAGTTGTTGTTAATTAAAACAAAGTAAAGTGCCAAGAACACTGGCTGGCACCTCTTACGGGCTCAATAAATAACAGTTATTATTAGTGTTCTTGAATGATTCACTGTGAACATAGAATCAGAACAAAATATGCAGCTCTCTGTCAACTGAAAAAGATTTATAGACACAGTCCAGGAAAAAAAAGAAAAAGATACCTATAATTCAGGAAAGCCTTTTGTGGGCAAACAATAAAATTGTATGTCTTAGAAAATAATGATTGAATTATATGAGTAGTAATTTTACCTGTGATGGAATGTATCTTGACGAGAAGCAAGCAGAATTATAGTAAAATGTTGGACCCACCATCAGGGAGAGCTCAGGAAATGAAAAGGAGGCTAAAATTATAAAACAGAGAAATGTAGTTAACGAACATCCACAGCAACAAGAAAAGTAATGGGATAATACAAGTCAGGTTAGTAATCTTTTGAAATCCTCTTCATAAAGATTCCATTTATTGAAGAAATACTGAAAGTGTACTCTCCTGTGGGTCCCTGGGATGACTCAGGAGGTTTTCTGGGGTAGCCAAAGCAAACACCGATCAGATCCTAGTAAAAAAACAAAAGAAAATTCAAAAGAAAAAGAACCACGTTGTTACTCTAAGCCTCTAGATCTGACGGCGAAGGACAAACCAATTAAAGAGAAAAATGGGACAGGTTGAGATACAAACCAAGACTTTCTGATTATTCACTGCTCAGGAAAACTGCAGAATTACTAAACCTCAAATGTAGACAGGATGATTCCATTTACATAGATCTGGCAGTGGAAAGGATGTGGGCAGAGAGAGTTTGAGTTGTCTCTAGAAGCCAGCTGTGATGAACATTCCTCATGTTTCCTTCTTGTTACCACTTCCAGCTGATCACAGAGTTCTGTCACTGTTGAAGCTGTAAATCAAGAGACGCATCTGCTAAGAAGACAAGGGAATAATGTAATCTATAGCCAATTCTATTATTTTTTCACACCTTACTTGCTGCAAGGTTCATTGCTTTTCCCCGCTTCCATCATCAAAACTAGATTTCAACAGGATAATTCTTTTGGCAATTTAATGTTTACTTGTAAAACATGTGGTGTGCAAACTTGTAAACTCTCCTCTACAGTTTAAGTAATTAAAAATGGAATACTTTATAAACCGAAAGATACCATTATTAGGGTTTCAATGTAAACTGCTCAGTTAACATTTTTCCAGGAAAAAAAAATTGATTTAACATAGTTTCTTAAGAACATGACATTTTCAAAAGATAAAATGCGATAACAAAAAACCTCTATAATATTATATTTCACAGTCACAGTTTTATAAATCTATTTAATTGACAGTAGATTAGGTACTTTCCTCAGCATATATATCTACTAGTATCTTTGCTGGGATATTTTTAGATCCATAAGTAAAAACCCATATTATGCTTCCAGAACATAACAGGCATTTGTTCCTTCACACTCTAACTCACTTGACATGATCCAGAATATTAAACTCTCTGATCAAAAATATCTGAAAGTAATTGTACACCTTTAATAATATATCATTAAAATATATGTTAAAATATAACATTCCATAAACTAAGATTATGATTAAAAATCTACTGCTTTATCATACATGTAATATGGGACATGTTTTTCTTCTTATTTAGCAAATAGAAAAGGAAAACAAATTAGGCTATATATTAAAACCAAATATACATTGCATATAATGAAAAATGTTCATGTTGCTAGCTTAACTTTCCCAATTAGATTCCTTCAACAAAACAATACGGTATTTAAGACATTAGCCACATTTCAACATATAAAAAGAATTTTCAATCAATATATTTTGTCAATAGATTCAAATAGTCACATCATGGTCCAAAAAAGCAATGCTTCTTTCACTGAGCATTGATGTCAATACCTCATGTATCTATGTTATTAGTGTGATCTAATTGCATAGATTAGTGAAGGTATTTAAATATTCTCACCTGCTGGAAAATGTCTTCATAGAAAAAGATACTATCGTTGCATGACTATGTAAAAATTGACCTAATTAGTGGAAATTAACCTAGACAAGACCCTTATCTTGTGACACAAGTGAATAAAAATGTACTAACACTAAAATTTTTTATGTGAAATATTCCTCAATTATGGTGAAGCAACCAGAAGTACTTTACTGTAATTGAAGATTTATAATAACATTCACGTGCCCAGCTATTAAGCTTTGTACCTAACAAGGAAAATGATGAAATTTAACTTCATGGAAAAACCAGTGACAGAGCATTCTCACAGGCAAAAACCAAACTCTTCAGTTTTTTAGTCATCCAAATTTCATTCAAATAGTGTACCCCTAAGTCCATTTCTTTCCTAATTAAAAACATGTCTTTGTATCTCCCCCTACCTCGTCCAAGTAAATTGAGAAGTTTCACAAATTTTTACAAGAAATGGAGGATATGACAAGAAAACATCACACCTAGAGAGCTAGATTCCAACTGAAGACATACTCTACCTTGGGCAGAAATTTAACTCTTCAGGTATTTCTTGGGTTATTTTATCAGGAAAAAAATATTTTCATTATGTGTGTACACACAATCTATGACTTACATCATCACCACTTAAAATAAAAAAGTCATTATAGCTTAGTTAATTTGAATATTTGGAATAAATTCAAATGAAGTAACTCCCTAAATACCTTGTTTTCCCCTTAGAAAATCCCTTGAGGGAAAAGACTTGGGTCTCACCGAGGAAGAGCAGGTAAATGCCAAGTAATGTGAAAAGCCTATAATGTGAAAAGAAAAATGCTAAAATAAACTGAACAATAAGTTATGAGTTTCACATTATGAAATACTGATGTAAGGCAAGTAATATTGAAACCAGAATGAAGCAGGAACCAGCCCCAGGTTCTCTTCCTTAAGCATATTCCCAACAAGGAGGGCCTTACCCTTCCTGTTAGAAAGACCATGCGCAAAAGCCCTGAGGCTTAGAGACAGAGAGCCTAAGGACAGAAGTTGACATTCTCGTTCTTGAAAATGTAGGTAATCATAGTTGTACAGTTTTAGAGTACAGGCTTTTGATCAGGGCCTGAATCTATGTCAGATATAACCATAATGATCTGTAGTCCATTAATTCAATTCTTTAATTTTATTCTAACATCAGTAACTATTTATACAATAAAGAAATTTGTATTTGCCAAGAAGAGAGCAGTGCTTAAGGTCTGCCTTTGTTATTTCCATGACTTGGCTTACCATTCGCTCCTCTGAACACTTTGATCTCATCATAAGTTTAGTTAAATATTGGCTCTTTGGTGTCATAAGAGCCCTAGATAAAGAGTCCCGTAAATACTTATCTGAACCAGCTAAGGTCTTTATCACTTGACAGGCTCCACTAAAAGTTGTTCATTTTCAACTTACCTAATAAATGGATTAAATTCATCCACCCCAAATGTAATACGTATCACTTCTAAACTTTGAAGAACATGTCTATAAGCACTGTGCCCTCTTACTAGTAATGGTGAAAGATGCATGAACATATCTTTAATTCTGAAGAACTATCAGATATGAACAAAGATAATGTGGATTAAATTATGACTCCAAGATGCAGAACTAATATGAAAATAAGCCATAATTCTCTATGTCCCTTCTATCTGAATTTGAATAACTACTAATGCTTTCCACTTTTTGGAATGACACAATGGTATTTGTTAGATCAGATGATGCCTACAACAGTCTAGAATCTGAATTTATTTGCTCCAATAATAAAAAGTACATAAAAACTAATGCATAAATTGCCAAAAATATGCCATAGTCCATAGTAATTCTCTGCAACCCATACCTATTACCAAGCTAGAAAGTTAAATATACTTACAACATACATTTATTTTTTAAAGGAAAATGCATGTATATTAGTCCCTTCTCAAATTGCTATAAGGAAATACCCAAGACTGGGTACTTTACAAAGAAAAGAGGTGTAATTGACTCACAGTTCCGCATGATTGGGAAGGCCTCAGGAAACTTACAATCATGCCTCTTCACAGTATGGGATGTGATGAGGTTTCTCTTCAAATAATCTGATCAATCTTGTATTCTTTAATTCATAGTACCCCTCAATTTGTCTCCTTTTTTTCACCTTTTCCCTTCTTGCCTTTGTTAAATGCCCAGGCACGCCACAGTGCCAAGCATTATCAGTACCAGCTCACATTCCTTTCCTTATTTGGAAAGAGGACTCACTTTCTGGCTCATTACAGACACCCCTTCCCCTTTCCCTCCACTTTCTTTCATGTGCCCACCCTACCTAAGAAAAATCAAATGTTTAGCCAACTGGGATCAGTTTAGATTGTATGACCCGACCCTGACCAATGGGGAAAGGGTACAGAGGCAGGACTTGTGTCAGGAATAAAGCCTCTCGTGCCCCTTTGTTCAGGTGTGCTCCCATGGCAACTGGCCAAGGAGGCACCTGTCTGCGCAGAAGTAAAATTGCTTTCCTAAGAATCCTTTGTCCGAGTGTTCAATTTCCTTAGGATTTTGAACGTTATTCCTAACTGTTCTGACGTCCATCTTTGGAACTTGAATATTCTCCTTCGGGAAGGGGGCCTTCGATCACCCCACCCATGGGAGACATGTCCTACTGTCTAGTTACGGTGGCCCTAGGGTGAGGGACATCAAGGCCCACCCCTTGTAACGAATAAATCTGGATTCTCAGCAAAGCGGGTAGGAGAAGCTTGCAAGACCTCGATGATAAGAGGACCAGGTAATTCTTGTGCACGGAGTAAGGTAGGAGATTTCGTGAAGGCACAAAGTATTTCCTGGGTGGTCGGGATAAGTTGGAGGCTGAGAGTGTATAAATGGGAGTAAATATTGTGGCTGTGGAATGAGTGAGTCTTCTCTGCAGTCTCGTGCTGCCATCTATTGACTAGAGGTGGCAGCAAACAGAGTAGACAAAAGAGGAAGGGGGAAGGTAGAAATCCCAGAAAAGGTGGGATTGGGGCCCTTTTCCCCAAAGCCTCAGTAAGCCTTAGGAAGGGGGAGGGTAGAAATATCTAACAGGAGGGGTTGCCCCACCCCCTTAATAATCCCTAAGGTAGGGAATGTTTCAAGTAAGACAGGAAAATTTAAAAGTCTAGAGAGTAATGAAATTCCTTCTGATAGCCCCTTGGGGCTTATGCTAATGTATTGGAAAGATAATGAAAGAACCAAGTATAAACGAAAATAACAGATGATAAAATATTGTTGTTTCATTTGGGTTTGAGAAACCATCCTTAAACCCTCACTTTTCTGGCCAAAATTTGGGTCTAACGAGGAGCGGATTTGTCAGCTCTTAATAGAACACGTTAATGATAGGAGCCCTGTCTCCCAGGAAGAGATCCATTACGCCCTCTGCTGGCGTCAGGGGCCAGTTCTCCTTTACCCTTTAGACACCGGAGGGAGAAAGTCAGAAGCCAATCCTTCTAAAAGGGAAGAAGTTCCCATGCCCCGACAACCCACAACTAACACGTGGGATCCTCTAAATCATCATCTCTCCTTCAGCGCCCCTAATCCCCCTCGCTCCGCTTCCCTTCTCAGGTCCCTCCCCTGTTTCCATCACTCTTCCGGCTGCCCCTAATCCCACCCTTCCGGTTCCTGTCTCAGGTGCCCCAGCTTGTGCCGTCACTCCGGCTGCAGTTTCAGGTTACTCCCCAGCCACTTCAGGTCATGCTCCAGCCTGTGCCCGTCACTCCGGCTCTAGTTTCAGGTTATTTCCCAGCTGTTTCAGGCAGAGGCCCAGCCCGCTCTATTCCCCCAGCTGCTGCTGTGGATCCCTCCTCTGCTTGTGATACTTCTGCACATATTGACCCCCCTCCTTATACTCCCAACTCTGCAGAATTCTGAGCCTGCCCCCTCCCAACCTATTAAGTATCCCTCTTTAAAGGGGCTTCAACAAAATAGAACAATGTAAAGAAGATATTCAAAACTTTCCATTTTCCTCCACACCCAGAGAGCCAGATCCAACTTTCTTTCCTTTAGGAGAGGTACCACAAGGCCGGAGGAAGCTATTGGCTTTGTAAGTGCTCCCTTGACTAGTTCAGAGGTCCATAATTTGAAAAAGGAGCTTCAGCCATTACTGGATGACCCTTATGGAGTAGCGGATCAAATTGATCAATTTTTAGGGTCTCATATATACACTTGGGCCAAGTTGATGTCCATCTTGGGCATCCTCTTTTCAGGGGAGGAATGAAGTATGATTTGGAAGGCTGCTATGGTGGTTTGGGAACGTGAGCACCCTCCCGGCCAAAATGTTCCTCTTACGGACCATAAATTTCCCACCCACGACCCTCAGTGGGACGATAACAATGCAAATCACCGGGAAAACATGCAGGACCTAAGAGAGATGATAATAAAAGGAATTTGAGAATCAGTACCCCAAACTCGAAATCTTTCTAAAGCATTTGATATTAAACAGGAAAAAGATGAGGGACCCACTGGGTTCTTAGATAGATTGAGGGAGCAAATGAGACAATATGCAGGGGTTGATCTGGGAAATCCCCTTGGACAGGGAATGTTAAAACTTCACTTTGTTACTAAAAGTTTGTCAGACATTCCAAGAAAATTACAAAAAATAGAAAATTGGAAGGACCATCCCCTGAGTGAACTACTTAGGGAGGCTCAAAAGGCGTATGTCAGAAGAGACAAGGAAAAACAAAAACAAGACAAAACTTATGTTATCTACCTTCCAGCAGATGGCTCCAAATCCATATATCTCCAAGCAGGGCTTCCAAGGAACCAGAGATTATGAGGGGCCTAGACCCCTCCAAGCCTCCATTTAGAGGGCCAAGGCCCTCAAATAATAAGTCCCCAAGGGGTATAGGTGGGGCAAGGGCAGAGAATGCTCAGACTGAGAAGGGAGAAGGACAAGATAGATGTTATCGATGTAGAAAAACAGACCACTTCAAGAGCGAGTGTCCTGAACTAGAGAGAGAGAAAGAGAGAAACACACTCATGACTTTTGAGGAACAATAGGGGAGTCAGGGGCTCCGCCTCTTTTATTTTGAGTCCCACCAGGAGCCCTTGATAAATTTGGAGGTGGGACCTAAACGTGAATTTATCACCTTTCTAGTCGATTCAGGGACTTCATGCTCCTCTGTTTGTTTCCTTCCACCTGGTCTCATCTGCTCTTCAGAAGAACTTTTAGTCTCAAGGGTAAAAGGAGGATTTAAGGCAAAAGTTTTAGAAAGCACAGAAGTCAGATATTAAGATCGATTTACACATATTCAATTTTTATTGATTCCTGAAACAGGAACTAATTTATTAGGAAGGGACTTAATGTTAAGGCTAGGCATAGGCCTTCCAGTGGGCCCTAAAGGATTCATCATTTCACTACATTTACTCACTGCTGTGGATGAGAAATATATTCATCCCAATGTCTGGTCAAAGGAAGGAAATAGAGGGAAACTCCAAATCCTTCCAATACATATCAAACTAAAAACCTCTGGGGATATAGTCAAAAGCACTATCCCATTCCTTTAGAGATCAGAGTGGGGCTAAAGCCTGTAATTGAGGGTCTTGTTAAAGATGGGCTTTCTGAACCCCATATGTCTCCTTACAATACCCAATCATGCCTGTCAAGAAATCAGATGGGTTGTATCAATTGGTGCAAGACCTTAGAGCTATTAATCAAACAGTCCAGACCACTCATCCCGTTGTTCCTAACCCTTACACCATTCTTAGCAAAATTCCGTATGATCATCAATGGTGTACAGTGATAGATTCGAAAGATGCCTTCTGGGCATGCCCCTTGACTGAGGATAGCCACAATATATTTGCCTT